ATACTTTTGAATTAATACCTTGATCTATCTTATTAAAAGGTACCCTCTTAGTAAATTTCTATAATCTACAAGTAAAGTGCCCTTACTTCAATAATGAGTTTTGTAAAGCTCTTTATTCATTGTTGCTACCAGAGCAAAGCTGGTTTTAATCTGCAGTATTTTAAAGTAGATCTTACCATTTATATTAGAAAATTGCAATCTTTAGGTCTCATTTTATTTTTTATAAAATGAAATAATAAAGGTATTTTTGCTACAGAACGAAAGCTCAAAACTTGAAGAATAAAGTTTCTCTAAGGTCGTTTGCTATTAATTATTTGACATATGTCAAAAAAACGTCACGACGATTTATGTTACACGATAATAAATTAATAGTAAAATCAATGTGATGGACATGTCCCGTGACTGATATATATACTGTATATAATAGTTTAATAAATTATTAATATTTCCCGGCCAAAGTTGCTAAATTCCGGTTAAAAAAAGTATTGCCGGAAAAAAAACCAGATTACATCACCCAGAAATTTTGTGCCGTGGTTCCTATCGAGTTTTCCAAAGTTTATCGTCACTTTTATGTCGTGTAACGTTGGGTTATATATAAATTGATTAACCAGAGCATACTGTCTTCGAAGCAAAAGAAAATGGCAGTACGATTTTCAGACCAAGCAAGTGAAACGGACTATATGGATGATGTGGATAATTCCGAAGTCCTTCAATTACAACAGCGGCTCCTTAGTGGTAAGTAAACTTAAGATTTTTAGGCCTCCGCATGGGCCCGGGCTACCCGTGGATCCGCCATAAGGGCCGGGCTAAGACATTGGTTTCTAAGCCCTAGGGTAAGAGTAAGGGCTTAAAAGCGAAGCCCTTACACAAATGGGTAGGGCTAGGGGTATTATTCATTACCATACCCTTGCTTTGACGGGTACCCTTTAGTTATATAGATGTTATGTTCAGGGTGGCTTTCTGAGTTCCAATGCAAACTACCGGAGTGGCGAGTAAGTTTTGTAACAGAATTTTTTACAGCAGCTCATGATTGAAACTACGATACTAGCTATCTCAACTTTAACTACAAACTATCGTCACTGGAATAGCAAGTTTTGGTGTAGCTCATGGTAGAAGTTACGATATTCCGATGCGATCTTAAATACATACTATGTATCACTGGAATAATATTTTACAGCAATCACGATGGAAATTACGATAATTCCAATGCAAACTAACTCACCACATTTTTGATTACCGGTGAGTTTTATAACAAAATTTTTTGCAACTCAATAGAAATTACCTCAATGGTTTAAAATGATATGTATTATCGGTTAATAAATTAAGCTCTGAACATACGTCTAATTTTTGTAGCAATATTTATTATTGTACTTAAAACTTTGCATAAGTAAATTTAGGCCCACGGGCAGTTCATGGGTACCCGTGGGTCTAATAGGCCGGGTTAGGGTATTGAGTTTTGAGCCCTAGGGTAAGGGTAAGGCTCAAAAGTTAAGCCCTTACACAAACGGGTAGGGCTAGGGTATTGCTATTACCCGGCTCATGCGGAGGCCTAAGATTTTTACACTACATTTTTCTCGACATTTTTGCTACTAGGTTAATTTTGAAATTGTTCATTAGAGCAGGATCATGATTTAGATAGATTAAGCGATGCTATAGGACGTCAAAGAGAATTAGGGATACTAATTGGCGATGAACTGTCTTATCATGTTGAGTTATTAGAGGAAACAGGAGGCATGGTCGATCATACTGAAAGAACCCTAGATAGAGCAAAAAGAAATCTCTCAAAGATTTCAAAGAAAGTTAAAAATAAAGGTAAAGATGAATCTCTTTGTTTATCTCAGATTCATAACTTTTTTAAATATATTATTTTATATTTTTTAGGACATTTTTGTATAATTTTTTCATTACTCCTCATATTAGTCGTTCTCATAATTGTTCTTGCTAAATAGACAATTTCACTTTAACCCTATACAGTCTAACCTCGTTATAGTCACTCTTGATATAGTCACAACCTTGATATAATCACGCTATTTTTTACACTGCATTGTCACGGGTCACATGATATATATTGGACCAATCAAATTAATATAATTTTTATATTAATAAATTTATAACTATGTTCAGTTACAATATATTAAACCCATCAATTAACTTATCATCCTGACCTTACCCACCACTAACCAACCATTACCCTCCAATATTTAAAATGATAATGTATAATTTTATTGATTTTTCTCAATCATAGTTAATGATATTATTTTTGTAAAATTATGTAATCTTTTTTGTGTACTGTAGTTTCTTTAGTGTAGTTTTATAATGGTTACGAATGTACATTATAAATCCTCAATACCTAATTTTATTTTTTGGATTTTTTACGGGAATTTTTGATGTGATGTGACTGAGTAGATCCATTTTCCAAAACTTCACGTTTCTTTTTGTGAATTTCTTTGGCACCACCAAAGTTAGTGTCGTGAAGATGCTAATAGTGATAATGGTGAAAAAGAAGAAAATGAATGTTACATTTATAATAATACCATATTTAGTCTATTAGAAAAATTTACCATCACTGCCACTCGTTTTGCTGTAGCAATTTCGTTTAAATTTTCTACTACTTTATTCTCGTTAATTTTCCATTCTTCCATTCGTTTATCTAAAGAATTATATTATTATTATTATTATTATTATTATCATTTAAATTAGATTACATGGTTATATTGTTTTGTTATGTAGGAGAGAATCATTGACCAATTGGTTTATTTACTTGTCCTAGCCTCTATGTTGTGAACAAGATCTATGTCACGTTCCGTAACAATTGATAACGCTACACCACCTCTACCTGAAAAATAAATTTGGTACAAGTTTAGCTAAAATTTAATTCATTATCATCGTCTTATATTCTTGCCTGCTCTTGCTGTTCGGCCAACTCTATGAATATAATCAGCTGGATCCTTAGGTATATCAAAGTTAATTACAACTTGCACGGTAGGAATGTCGAGACCTCTATATATTTATATAATATTAAATAAATAAATAAATAAAATAAACTAATAAAAAATTTATATCTATTTTCACACACTTACCGACTTCCAACATCTGTAGCCACTAAAACTTTTACAACTTCCGCTTTAAATTTTCCCAAACTATTTAGTCTTTCTTTCTGACTCATTGATGAATGTAAACTAGTACATCGAATATCCAGTCCTACCAACATTACGCGCAATAATTCTGCAGTTTTACAACGCCCACAAAATATTATTGTAGATTGGTTTAAGAATTGTTCAGAGCGAAGAAGATGGACTAAATAAGGTTCACGGACGTGAGATGGTATGAAAATGTAATATTGTGCCAGAGTTGATACTGTTGATGTACTAGATTCAAATTTGATAAACACTATGTGTTAGATGAAAATACTAAATTTACACCTTTTTTTATGACAAATAGAAAACCAACTCTGATTTAATTTGATAAACGAAAGGCCTCTTGTCCGGATCTTCTTTAAGATTTTCTATTGCTAGAATATTTTCTGTCATTGTCGCCGTAAATAACAACGTTTGTCGTTTTGAAGGTATATTATCAAATATAACATTAAGGTCATCTGCAAATGTATCTGATAAAAGACGATCAGCTTCATCGAGCACCTTTATCGAATGTATGTGTTATTATCGAAATTTAATGTAAAGAATATATAAAAGTGGATAAAAAAAAAAAAATCAAACTTACTAGAAATCGAATCTTGCTAAGACTTGATTTAATATTACTACTATTAATATGATCTACTAATCTTCCAGGTGTCGCTATAACAACATGCGGTCTTCTTGAAAGTTGTATCGCTTGTGTCATCATATCTAGACCTCCAATTATAACACATTCTTTTATATTTACGCCCTTGCCAAGTACTCTAAATTGATCAGCAATTTGAATAGCCAATTCTCTGGTCAAATATATAAAAAATTGCTAGTCAGAATCATAACTTTTTTTAAAATAATTAATAAAACCTTGTGGGAGTTAAAGAAACATATTGAGGGCAACCCTTTTAAGGGGTAACTTATTAATACCTTGTAGGAGTTAAAACAAGAGCGAAAATACCAAAAGGATCTTCAGACAACTTTTGTAAAATTGGTAATGCGAAAGCAGCAGTTTTACCACTTCCAGTCTTTGCTTCTCCTATGCAATCTTTCCCTAACAAAATTTTAGGTATACATGCACTTTGAATTTCAGTTGGGAATTTTATAGACATTGCGTTTAATGCGTCTATTAACCATGAATTCAATCCCAGTTGCTCAAAGCTTGTTGGAAGCGATGAATTTTTCGGAAAGGAATAATTTTGTAGATAAGAACCAGAGTGAATTTTTGCGTGACTTGATCACACGGGGATTTTGGCTTACCACGACATCATCGATATACTCTGCAAGAAGCATTGTCAACCGATTTTTCTCACTCTGTGCAGCTTTAATCTTCAGCATCATGGTCT